ATGTTTAACGACTTATCCATCAGTCGGCTCACAGATCCTTTACTTGCTGCTCCACTATCTACATGGACGATAGTGTACTACCGGGATGGACACCGCTTGATCTCTGCAACTTAACCTTAGCCGTTGATGGCTAACGACCTGTTCATCTTTATATAAGTCTTCACTGTAGATGGAATATGCAGATGAGTAATACAGACTTTCCTTTATGCTTGCTCTGTTCTTAATTCCTCTAGTTGTGATGTTCTGTTTCATGTATCATCACACACTCTCGATTCTCTTCATGGTATCAGAGCTTTAGGTTCTATTTTCGATCTCACTTCTTATGGCGTCTTCATCTACCACCACTCCGATGGAGATCTCTGAGTCTAGCACCACTGTTAGCGCTCTAGCTATCCCAGCTCAGCTCAAATTCTTTATGTATAATGTTAAGACAATGGTGACCGTTCAACTCACGTCGGAGAATCACCTCATATGGAAGTCTCAAATGCTAAAGTTGTTCACGGCTAAAAACTTTGAAGGTCACCTCACTGGAGCTACAGTAAAACCGGCGAAGCAGATAATAGCTACTGATGGAAGCAGCTCTCTCAATCCTTTATGCTCAACTTACATGTTGATTGATCAACATCTCTCCTCAGCCATTTATTCCACGGTATCACCGTCGTTGTTCCCATATATTCTAAATCTAGACTCCACACATGAAATCTGGGTAACGCTAGAGCGACGTCTACAATCTTCAAACCGCTTAAGGCTTCTTCACCTTAAAGGGGAGCTCCATCAGCTAAAGCTTGGTGATAAAACCATGTTTCAGCACCTCACAAATATCAAAACCAAAATCGATGCCATCGCAGCAGCTGGTTCGTCGGTAGATCCAGAATACATCATACACTACACATTAAACGATCTACCTACAACATATCAATCTTTTAAAAACTCTATCCGCACTCATCCAGGTCCTTTGCCTCTGGATGATTTTTATGCGTTGCTTTGTAGTGAAGAGCTACATTTACAGGCTGACATTAGTCGGGATTCTATCTCTTCCTCTGTTGCTGATCCGAACTTCGCACTCTCCGTCACTCGCGGCTCCATCCGGGGACGCCCACCTTATCGCGGCAGAGGTCGTGGATCACTCTCTGGACAAACTGGCTCTGACAGATCCCCGTCTGGAACATTTAATCCTGCCGCAAACTGTGGAGGTCGTCGACAGCGCTCCAACATTGAATGCAAGATATGTGGAAAATCTAGACACTCTGCTGTGAACTGTTGGTATAGACATGATCCTGCTTACTCTGCTTCGCCTCAAGCCTACATTACAACATATACACCTCAAACTGCAGAGTGGTACTTAGACTCGGGAGCTACGGAACACCTTACTTCCAATGCCACTCAGCTACAGAATATGCAACCATATGTCGGGACATCTCATGTTCAAGTTGGAAATGGACAGCAACTCTCAATTGCTTATACCGGACAAGGGCTCTTACCCACGCCTCATCGTAAGCTTCATTTATCCAGAATCCTTCATGTTCCTCAACTCTCTCACAATCTTATCTCTATTCACAAGCTAACCACTGATAATCCGTGTTTTGTTCTTTTCAACTGCTGCATCATCTACCACTTCTTGTCCTTCTACTATAGCATTAACTACTACCACTAGTAACCCCTCTTTGTGGCATTAGCGGCTTGGTCATCCATCGCCCACCACTCAGCAGTTCATCCCCACAATTTTTCCCAACAATTCTGCTGCCAGCCAGCTCTTCCATTGTAGTGCTTGTGCTCGTTCTAAGAGCACTCGCTTACCATTTACATTATCGTCTAGTAGATCTACTAAATGTTTAGAAATTATACATAGTGATGTTTGGGGTCCATCACCAACTGTTTCTATGCAATCCTATCGTTACTATATAATTTTTGTTGATGACTTCAGTCATTAGACTTGGGTATTTCCATTGCATTTAAAATCGAATGTGTGTTCAATCTTTTTAACATTTAAAAAGCTTGTTGAAACTCAATTTCAACAACAAATTAAAATTCTCCGCACGGATTGTGGTGGTGAATATCTTAATGCCAACATTCAACAACATTTAAAACAATTTGGCATTATACATCAAACAACTTGCCCATATAAACCCAACAGAATGGCATCTCTGAACGAAAGCATCAGCATGTTGTGGAAACTGTTCGAGCACTATTGTTCGATGCGCATCTCCCTCAACAATTCTGGGCTGACGCTCTCCTTACAGCAGTATACCTTATTAATCGGCTACCATATTCCTCCACAAACTACAAATCTCCCTACGAATGTCTATTTCAGCAACCACCTTAATATTCTCATTTAAAAACTTTCGGTTGCTTAGCTTATCCTTGGCTACCTACTCAACTTTCTCATAAACTAGCACCAAGATCACAACCATGTATATTTCTTGGTTATCAGAGTAATACTAAAGGGTATAGATGCTATGACTTCAATAATTCTAAATTGTATATTTCCAGGCATGTACAGTTTTATGAGCATATTTTTTCATTTCAATCTTACGACTCAACTTCACTGCTACCGACTCCTATACCATCGCCCACACCTATTCCTGCTACTCTCATTCCAACTCAGCTCTATCTCCTAGTTTATCTTCACTCCAGCAATCTGTTGACTTATCTCAAAGAAACTCAGCCTCAACTACTTCCCCATCTAACACTGCAACTCCCTCCACATCATCTTTTCCTAGTACTGCTTCTGAGGCTACTCCTTAACCATCCAAACATCACATGGTTACTAGAGCTCAAACCGGTAAACTCAAGCCAAAACAGATCCTGGATCTTCAACATCAGCTTATACCAACACAACCCACTGGCTTCACTCAAGCTGCCAAATACCCTGTTTGGAAAAATGCCATGAGTGCTGAATTTGAGGCATTACAACATCAAGGTACATGGACTCTTGTTCCATATGATCCTAGTCAGAATCTCTTGGGTTGTAAATGGTTATTCAAAACCAAATACAACGCCGATGGCACTATTGCTCGCTACAAAGCGAGGCTGGTTACTCAGGGCTTCAAACAAGAGCATGGTCTTGACTATCATGAGACCTTTAGCCCGGTAGCGAAATTTTCTACAATCCGGATCTTCATCACATTTGCTGTCAACAATTGTTGGCCAATTCTCCAATTAGATGTATCTAATGCCTTTTTGCATGGCACATTAAATGAGACCATACAAATGAAACAACCGGCTAGATTTGTTGATCCACAGTTCCCTAATCATGTATGCTTGTTAAAAAAATCTATTTATGGGCTGAAGCAGTCTCCGAGACAATGTTTTGCAAAATTGTCCTCCTATATGCTCACATATGTTTTTAAAACCAGCACTGCTGATCCGTCCCTCTTACTGCTGCATAAGGACTCCATTCAGCTATACATGATAGTCTATGTTGATGACATTCTGTTGACAGGTAATTCTCAACGTGAGATTAATAAGCTGATCGCAGCCCTTCAATCTGTCTTCTCCCTTCGCAATCTCGAGCACCTGCATCAGTTCCTCGGTCTGCAAGCAACTCAAACAGCCTACTGGCTGCATTTGAATCAATCATAGTACGCCAAAGATATCCTACAAAGAGCAGCAATGTCTCACTGCAAACCGGTATCTACACCTCTTCCGACTACCCTTCCTACAGCAGAACCGAATGATGCAGTGTATGATCGTCTGGAGTTCTACCGCAAGCTGGTTGGCTCATTGCAGTATTTAACAATCACCCACCCAGATTTACTCTTTGTTGTTAACTATCTGTCTCAAAATATGCATCAGCCATACAATACGCATTTCCTAGTATTGAAACGAGTACTGCGGTATGTACATGGATCGCTTACTCTTGGCTTACCTATCATCAAATCCAATATGTAGTTAACAGCATTTGCCGATTCAGACTGGGCAACAGATAAAGCTGATCAACGATCTGTTACCGGCTACTGTGCCTTCCTAGGTGATACACTTATTTCATGGACCGTAAAAAAACAATCCTCAGTTGCCCGATCCTCAACAAAAGCAGAGTATCGTGCCCTCTCAACTGCAGCATGTGACATTATCTGGCTTCGCCGCATTCTTACTGAATTTCAAGTGGAGCTCGCCAACCCTACAAAACTCTTATGTGATAATGTCTCAGCATTAGCATTAGCCAGTAATCCCATTTTTCATGCTTGTACTAAACATATCGAGATAGATTTTCACTTTATCAGGGATTGCATTCGGTCCAACTATATCTCAGTTCATCACATCTCCACAATTGATCAACCAGCCGATATATTTACAAAATCCCTTGGAGCACCCCGCTTTGATTTTCTTAGAGACAAGTTAATTGTCTGCTCATCGACAGTTAACTTGAGGGGGGATGATAAGAAGACCTGATATGTTTGACGACTTATCCATCAGTCAGCTCACATATCCTTTACTTGATGCTCCACTATCTACATGGACGACAGTGTACTACCGGGCTGGACACCGCTTGATCTCTGCAACTTAATCTTAGCCGTTGATGACTAACGACCTGTTCATCTTTATATAAGTCTTCACTGTAGATGGAATATGCATACGAGTAATACAGACTTTCCTTTATGCTTGCTCTGTTCTTAATTCCTCTAGTTGCGATGTTCTGTTTCAGGTATCATCACACACTCTCGATTCTCTTCAATATTAGCAAGGCCTCCAATCATTCTCTTTGTTGAAGAAAATAACACAACAATACTATATCATGAGGCAACATACAAAGATGAGGAAATAAATATGCAATCCTGATGCAAATTTAGATAAATAAAGACAAGGCAAATAAGTAAAAATCACATTTGATCAGAGATACAAAATATTTATGTAACAACTACAATACAACTATTTTATACTACAAAATCATTTTTTATCCTAAGATAAAAATACTTCATGTTATAATTTTGATCAAATGGCCCTTTTAATCATGCCTCACACCACAGAAGCAAATTTGCATCAGAACCAACTACAAAATGGCATTCAAATTCATTTCTTTTTTTATCCTAAAAGATAAAAGCATGTGATCTAAAAAAACAAGCAATGATGTCATCTTACATCTTTGATCAAAATGACCTCTCTCAATCATGCCTTACAACCCAGATGCAAATCTGCATCAAAATCAAGGCCATAGCCTCAAAAAGCATCAGTCAAGCCATGCAATTTTAAAACGGTAAGAGCATGCCAAGAAAAAGAGTAACCTATCTTCTGTGTTCATTCAATACAATGCTGCAAGAGCCAACATAGCTCTTTTTCTTACTCCTTCAGTCTTCTAAAAATGTTTAAAATGCACAAAAAAGAAGGTAGTTTTCTTTCTTTCCTATCCATAGTTCATTTTGTTTTGCTTTTATGCTTCTTAAGTTTTCATATTCCTAAAACGGTTTAATCGCTCGTCATGGGATGAGAAATACACCATCTGAAGCGTGCCCGTCGAACGGAAGTAGCCAACTCAGTCTGCACAACCTCGAGCATCTTGACTACTTCTCCAAATGGTGGGCGGACATCAGGGTTAGCATCCCAGCACTGAGTCATGATTACTCCAAGCGAAGGAGGGCAGTCACTTGGTATAATTGGCCGAGCACCTTTGTTTACAACAGCAAAAGCTGCCTGCACAGCCGTCATGTTCTGGAATGGAACCATGCCAGTTATGAGCTCCCACAGCACAATTCCAAAGCTATAGACATCAACCTTTTGAGTATAAGGTCTGCGCTGGATCATCTCTCTGCAGGTCAAAGGAATTCCTCATGTTTATCCAAACTGGTGGTGAACGTCAAGTAGCAAATGACAAGTGAAAGTGCACAAGACATGAAATAATTGAAATCTGTTATAACCACAATTGAGAATCCATATATGAATTTGCAATGGAGCCTAACAAAATTACTTATCCCAACAATGGGCATAATTTAAGAGTCCAGATCTAATTAACTGATTTATAAACCCTATATGCCAATATTGGACAAGAATTGTTAATCTTTAATATCTGGAATTCAGAAGGGGAACCTACCTGCTGGTCTAGAAATGTGTGCAGAATAAAGCGAGAGGGCAATGTTGAAAGGGGGATTTGAGTAATGGAAAGAGATGGATGCAAATCAATTTGTGTGTGAAATTGAGAGGGCAGGGTTGAAGTTTGGGATGGTGGCGTTGCATGAGAATGAAGCGACTCAATAAGCAAAAGTAAACTCCTGTAAGGTCCCAGATAATATCATATAGATAATATCTGGAATAAATCTTAATTTCTGCCTCTGTAGCCGAATAGATTGTTATGTGTATGCATACATTGGACCTGTCATAAAGCATTTTGGTTTGAACGCACCTTATAAGCCCATCACCTGGAGTAAGATTTTGTCATATGATACGATGGCCCTAACATAAGGTAGGTATGTTTCATTATCATACCTTACAGTAAATCCTAACTAAGAAAATATACATGTGCAGTCTTGCACAACTTCAGAAAAAATTAGAAGAAGAAAAAAAAACTAAGAAAATATAGCTTGGAAACTTTTTCATACCATACAATTATCTCCATCATAAAGAACAATTAATAGAACGTATTAGCAAGGGAATAATCATATAATACATTCTTCTTAATTCTACAAATTGTTCTCAAACTAACAAACTTAAAATAACTCAAAAACGTTATAAAATAGAAAAATTGATGCAATGAAACGGGATGCAACAGGATTGTTTATCAGATAACAACTGTATGCATTGAACTTTTTATCACATGATCACTTTTAGTGGACGTGCGCAGATCTGCATGCATGTAGGGTGACTATGAAGTACTCCAGCCACACATTTACCTCTAAATATTTCATTAATCGTAGAGCTGATAATGGTACTCCAGCCACACAGTGACCTCTGCAATGCTTCCTCAATCATAAAGGTTTCTGTCTTTCTGAAACCAACTGGAGATAATTTGGAGGGTGTTGAAAATTTTTGGCAGTTTACAACTACGAAGGACAGGCCGGGTAACTCGCATGAGCCATTAGTAGCGCATAGGTTGTGCTTGCTGCTATATGCAGGCCCATGCAAACTGAACATGTCATGGTTGCATTTTACTGTCCATACACCATGCAATAATTAGCAGAAGGTAAGTCAAGCCATCAGCTCCATGCCAGTCAAGTGATAGTTGTAAGAACCAAAAATTTCAGGTATTGTTTTAAATAAATAGGTATTATTAAGATTTATGTTATATGCTAGTTTAACTAATATTATAATATAATAAATTAACTCAAAATCTGAAGGGAAGCATTCCAAAGCAGCCTTTGGAATGGGACGGTTTGGGATTTGGGCAGTTAGATGATGGCTGGGGCCCACTATCCAATAGTGTGTAAACCGTGGATAATTCCTATTGTTCTAGTGTTTCGCTGGGAGAAAAAGGGCTGGAGAGGAAGCACTTCCGCAAGCAATTCCCTAGTCACTGGAGAAGGTTGAGGCCGCATACAGGAAGGAATATAGGGAATTTGGTTCGGCCAGAACAAGTTTCTGCAGCGGTAACTGGAAGGAAATAGGGAGACTTTCAGCATAGTTGTTGAAGGGAAGGACTTGATTTCTGTAAAGGAAGATTTATGCATTTTTTTTTTTAAAGGAAGGATAGTGAAAGCAGTGTAATTCTGGTTCTGTGAAATACATTGAAGTAAGTAAACTTGCAACTCATTATAACCACATTTGTTAAGATTTAAGAATGATTAATATGACATTTCTTGATCAATTCTAGTTTGATATCAGGGTGAGTATGAATTGATGATATGGTGAAGAAAGTTTAAGAGAGGAAATTTAAAAGATAGAAAAATGTAAGAATCCTACATTTCCCTTATCTTTTATATTAGTTCTTTTAAGTAAAGTTCTTATGTAAATTATAATTTAGAGTGATATTGATTATATAGTCTTATGCAAAGAGGAGGCTTTGAAGTGACTTATAATAGAAGAAGAATAAAAAGTGAAGGTTTGGAAGAAGCAACCCGTCTAGAAGGTAAGTAATGCAAAATAAAGTTTTAAATGTAATTCTTGTTAATTTCTACCTTGTATGTTGGTATTCGCATGAATGCAAGAAAAATATGCATTACAAGAAATTTTCTGTTAAAGGATGTTCATAACCTAGTTTTCATATAGGAAAGACCACTTCTATATTTGAATCATGAGACTATAAAATAAGAGTTGTTATGTTGCATTAAAGATTTTTCTAGTTGGAAGTATTTTGAAAAGAATCTTCATTTTTAACTTATAGTATACCTTTTCATTTCACAATTAAGTAGAATATAAAGACCTTATGAAAGCAATAATATGAGTATGAATTATGTTATATATGTGTATGTAATATCAATTCAACATAAAGTTTGGTTGTCTATATGATGTATGACTTACAAGAATAGTTGAGATAAAAGGGTTCTCAATATGTAACTACCTTGTAAATGGAGCAAAAGGGACCTCTATAGAATTCAATGACGATAATGCCAGATTTTTCTGGGCTCCATTGAATGTGTATGAAAGAATAGCCAAATTTTTTAATGAATAAAATTGATATTCAATATGGATCTAAGAGAACAATTAAGAGTAATGTCAAGTGAGATGTTTTGTTGTTTCTCTAGTAGTTTAAATTTGTTACTCATGTTTTAATGTTCTTAAACTGTTTACATACAAGTTTAATACTAATTATAACTGCATAACTTATTGAGCCTTGCTGTTGTTACAAGAAAAGAAAAAGAAAAGATGGTTGCTGACTAGGTTCAAGTATTTCTGTCATAGATGTTAATTGTATTTATGTTTGTAAACTAAACTAGAGGAATGTGAATATTCTCATGAAGTGTTTGTTTGGATTTTTCCTTAGTGGCTTTGTAATCATATTATATGGATATTTAAAAACTTTTAAATGCTTCTGTTGTTGTACCAGTTGAGGTTATGATATATTTTTATGTAAACATTCAAATGATGAATTGTTTCACTCTACAATACTATTCATGGGTATTGTGGGTTGTTACAATAGTTAACAGCATTCTACCAGCACATTAATCCTTGTTATGTTTCTATTAATAGTACATCAAGAATACTTAACGGAATTTGGGAGGTGTGGGAAAATTTGGAATTTTAGTATTGCGTTCCTAAGGAAAAATTTAAAGGCCCGTTCATTGTAGAATGAATAAAACAGTAACACATAAAAGGAAACCTAGGGACAATAGCAAAGGACATTAACTTTTGAAATAAGGCATAAGACTCGAACGTAGGCTCAAGCTTCAGTAGCTATTCCAAGGGATAATGCCAATGCCAAGTCCCAATTCCTGGATGAGAAAAGTGGAGGGTTGCGTTAGGTAGTCGACAACCAATGTAAAATTTGTCAAATAATCATGACATGAATCATTTGATAAATTGTGTTAATGCTAAGACGTTCCCTGGAAGTGACACGTTATATGACCTGAATATAGTGAGAATTGTGCAAGGACAGCCGCATCGGCGCCCGGATGCAGTATTAAATAGGCAAGGGTTCACACTTCATGGACGGATGTGGGTAAAGAAGCTAGTCCATGAAACTAAAATTAGATTATGATCTTGGAATGTAGGTTCCCTTACAAGCAAATTAATGAAATTAATTGATATTATGATTCATAGGAAGATAAATATTTTATGCATTCAAAAAACTAAATGGGTGGGAGAGAAGGCTAAGGAGCTTGATAGTTTAGGATTTAAACTTTAATATTATGGTAGGAATCATATTAGAAATAGTGTTGGTATGATAATAGATAAGAGTTTGAAAGATAATGTTATAAAAATTGATAGAATTATACTTTTGAAGATTATTGTTGATGATAAAATTATTAAAATTATAAGTGCTTATGCTCCTCAAATAAGTTTGAATATGTGTTCAAAATTAAAATTTTATAATGACTTGGAAGAATTAATACAAAATATACCTCTTTAAGAAAAAAAAATTATTGGGGAGATTTAAATAGATATGTTTGTAGAGATGTAGAGGATTTCAAAAGCATTCATGGAGGTATGGGTTTAGAGCGACTAATGAAGGTGGTAAAACTATATTAGATTTTTCTCTAGCTTATGATTTTGTAATTCTTAATACTTTATTTAAGAAAATAGATGAACATCTCATCACTTATAAAAATGGATATAATAAATCTCAGATTGATTATTTTCTCGTAAATAGATTTTTTTTATTGGCGTATTACTAAAATTGAAATTAGAGAGGCTTTAAAGAAAATAAAGTGGGGTAAAATGGTTGGACCTGATGATATTCCAAAAGAGGTGTGGAAATGCTTAGGAGATGAAGGAATTTCTTGGCTTACTAAACTTTTTAATATTATTTTGAAGATTAAAAAGATGCCAGATGTGTGGAGACTGAGTGTGTTGATTCCTATTTTTAAGAATAAAGGTGATGCACAAGATTGTGCGAATTATAGAGGAATTAAGTTGATGTGTCATACTTTAAAGCTATGGGAGAGAGTTATGGAGCATAGGTTACGACGTGATACTAATATTTCTCAAAATCAATTTGGATTCATGTCGGGTAGGCCTACTATGGAAGCATACATTTATTGAGAGGTTTAATGAAGAAAGAGAAATTAAGGAGGATCTTCATATGATATTTATTGATTTAGAGAAAGCATATGATAATGTTCCAAAAGAAGTGCTATGGAAAGTTCTAAAAAAAGAAAGAGGTTAATAACGCTTATATTCAAGTCATTAGGGATATGTGTTATTTGTGTTCAAACACAA